CTTTGAGATGCATGTGCACAACCAATTTAAAAGAGATATATGGAGTAATACAAATATATTGCATATCACTATTTTACAGATTCAGATGAGACTGAACCCCCTGGAATATAACATCAACATAGAGATAGAAACCAGGTGTAATATGGTTTTAATTTTCTCTACGACATATATTATGAAGAGTTTATGGTTACGGATGTGGGTCTGTATGTGAAATAGGTTTATGAATGTGGGATTATAATATCGCAGAGGTTGGTTAAATGGTGGCACAAGCATGGGCTGGGAGTTCAAATCCCAGCTCTCTCGTTTACCATGTGGACACATTATTTAACCTCTTTGAGGCTGTGTCTTCATCTGCAAAATGGGGGAAATAATCCTTTCAGATTGTTCTAAAAAGTAGTTACAAGCAAAATATCTGAGACATAATAGGTGCTCCACAATCATTGCTATTAATTTATTTAGAAATCTACATATATCATCAGAGTACTTTCATTTCTTAAATATTAAAGAAAATGTTTCCAATATCCAAACTTGTTCTTATATCTCCCACTTGGCAGATATCTCAGCCTGAACCCTGTAAGTTAAATAGAGTAGTCTTTTTTCATCTTTTCAAAAGAAGTTTAAATATTAATCAAGAAGACTTCACAGACCTTTGCATGAATTTGAGGCACTTATGATTTTACATATTCTACAAAATCCTCTCTTGATAAATCCATGGAAATTAAAAATTAATATTCTAAGTCCCATGTTTCTATTTTTAATTCTTCTGACCTCTCCATTTTTAAAAAACCTCGTTATGTTGTGAACGGAATTTATAAGACAATCATTCATTTATTTTATAAGTACCCTAAAGGGAAAACTTTAAAATTTTTTATTTGGACCAGCAATAGAAAACTGCCCCAAATCTGGCTTTATATTGTCTCTGGTCTAAGTCTTAGTGATATTTTATAAAATACCACTAAGTCCTAAAAACTGCCGTTGGGTGGGGTAACCATAAAATGTATTGTCCATACTGAGGCTCTCCTGAGATCACAAAGGAAGTTATTAGTAATTACTCTGCAGCAACAGGGATACACCAGGATTGTCCTGGGTGCCTGTGACGTCTGGTCCCCTACCTCTGGGTCTTAAAGCTGATGGTCCAGTCATTACAAATATTCACCCAGACTCGTGGTTGAATCCTCTCTCCACATAGTAAACTTTTATGAATTTAACATTTACATTTCCTTACCTTAAAGCTTTTCTAATTATCTCAATCTTGGGGATGAGATGTCATTATTTGATACTAAGCTATGAATAAATTTCTCTCCTTTCTCAGGAATGATAATCAGGTGTCAGGTAAATCTTCACCTTTTCTATTTCACCTACCAGCTCCTTTTTACATGTTCCTCTTTTAGCTTCAGGGAGATTTCTGCCAGCACGTTTGGCATTTTGCAACACCTGTTTCTGCCACAGGCCACTGCCCTCCTCAGCTCTCTTTAGGATATGAACTGCCTTGCTTAGTCAAATCCCATTACTTCTTCCATAATTACCTTAGGTGCCTTAGGTCACAATTCATTACCAGAGAAGAAGCTAAAGCTTTACTAGTAATGCTACAGAGGACACAGCTGAGATGCCCTTCTATCTGCTTTATAAGAAATCAGCTCCATTCAACAGCAAAATTCCATGTATTGAATTCCTTCCTTATTTATCCTGTTTGCTTCACAGATTAAACATAATCAGTTCTGGAGGTCAGCCGTGAAACCTAGGACATACAGGTTTCTGAACAGGCGCATCTCTGCCTGAAAGCTCTCCCGTTATTAGGCTACAGTGCATGCAAATTAAGCAGAGGTTGGAACAATTGTTAAAGGACGATGATGAAGAGAAATGAGGTCATGACAGCAACTGGCAACACTTATCTCTGGAAACACAACCATCATACCAAAGCTTAATATCTGACTCAGAGATGTTTATGAGAAATTCCTAGTTAAGAAGCAACAAAAGGAAAGAAAAAAGTTGGGAAATTCTTTTAAATGGGGATTTTTATATGTTTCATTCTGACTTTGGACCCTGTTTGAGTCTCTAAAAAGAAAGCAAATTAATGTCTGGGCTGGAACTAACGGTAAAACTGTATTGACGGTTTTTCTGCTAATGAGCGAGACCTTAAAACTCAGTTAACACTGAACTGAAAATATAAAAGAAAAATGGTGGAAATGATTGGTCCTTGAAATAAGTCATCAAACTTATGAAAATTGTTTTCATCAGTAACACTGCTCATAAAACCATGTGGCCAATTATGTATTTTCTTCTCAAATAGTAAATTAAGAATCACATAAAGAGAAGGCAAAATCCATGTGTGTGTACATAGCCATTGGGCAGATTTTACAAATATAAGAAAGAGAAAACGCAGACATCTCCCTATAACTGCTATGTCTCGAGTAACTGAAAAGTCTGCCAACACATATGAAATTCTTCCCAGTGCACTCCTTTTTTTTAGGATAACGTAATGAGCTGGAGCTAATAGAATATGAGAGGTCTTTTAACATTTTTTTCAGACACTCGTTTTTGAGAACAGAGTACAGCATGGAGCTGGCTAAGAGGACTTACTGAATGATTCAAAGGCCATGAGTTCAGATGACACTCATATCTGTCTGCCCTATTTGTATTATATTTTCTGTGTCAAAGTTAAGTTTGCAGCATGATGCCTGATCTCCTAGCTGGGTTAACAAGTTTGAGAATTCTTGCCTTTCAACTTGGTTTTTAATAAAATGGGAACTCTAAACCAGCCTCCTAAACTCACTGCGGTTAGAACACAGCTGCTTCCTTACCCAGAAGCTTTCTCTTTTCTTCACTTCTACGTCTATTGTCTCTGCCCACACGATATTTTTCCACCCTCATATTCATTCATGGAACAATCTAGACATATTCCACAGCCCACATACATTTAAAAAAAAAAAAACTACCTACAGGTTTCCTTCCACGCATTTCTTCCCTCACCCACACAAGTCAACTCCCTTACTCACCACTTCCTTCAACTTTCCTATCCTGTGTTTGTACTAATTCACTGCTATCCTCTGCTTTTAACGTTGCTTTTCTATTTTTTAACAATTTCTCCTTTGTCACTTTTAGCAACTTGCTTTTCTTCCTCTGTTCTTTTTTTATTTCCTCTTCTTTATCAATTTGTCATAAAGTTGTCATTATCTGTCTAAATATAACACATTATTAACCATGCCGTCAATAAATAGTTACTAAGTACTTACTCTGTGCTAGGATACTAGGTACTGACCACAGGGAAATGAATCTTATCGACCCTTTCCCAAATGTATCCTTAAGGACCTCACAGTGTAATGAGGAAAATGGGGAAAAAAACAGCTGTGAGTGCCAGAGTGCTAATTCTAGCAAGATGGACTACGTTAAATTTAGCTCCTTCCACTACAAACAGCTAGATCTGTTGGATAAACACTAACATTTAAAAATGCATATCTGGGCTTAGAAGAAAGAAAAATACATTCCAAAATGGCAACATGTAAGAGGAAACTAAAAACTAGAGGAAGGGAAATACATGAGTTGACTAAATGGTGGTCTCAATGGGGACTAAGTACCCAGCAGCCATGAGCTTGGGTTTCAATGCCTACAAGAAGCAGAAGACAGGGTCCTAAGCCCATGTGAGTCTGGGAGCAGGAAATGGGACTCCCAGGCATACAGACATATTATAATTTAAATGAGCTCCAGAGCGTGATATTGGTGAAGTAATCATCAAACAGGTCAATCAGGCACAGTAGAGATTATAGTTACAGACCCAAATATAGACAGTGAATTAGTAAATGAGAAACGTAGCGTTAAATTCTGTGAGTAATGACACACAATAAATAGTGCGGGGAAAACTGCCTTACCATATGATGAAAATCAGTTGTAGTAAGGTATACGTGACATACAATATATTGCACATATTAAAAAGAACAGCTTGATAAATTCTGACATATGCACAGAACCACACTCAAGAAAATGAACATACTGACTAATCCCAAAGGTTATCTAGTGCCCCTTGGTCATCTCTTTCTCCTACCCTAACCCTTATTCCCAGGCAACCAATGATTTCCTTTATATCATCATTGACAAGCTTGCATTTTCTAGAATTTTATATACATAGAACCACAGAATTTGTACTCTTTTTCATCTAGTTTCATTTACTCAATGTAATTATCTTGAGACACAAGATGTTATGTATATCAATATCTCATACTTCTTTTATTGCTAAATAGTAGTCATTACATGGATATACCACAATTTGTTAATCCATTTACCTGTTGATGGAAATTTGGGGTGTTACCAAAGTGGGCTATTACAAATAAAGCCTTTGTATGTATAAGCATGTATAAGTCTTTGTATGGACATAAGTTTTCATTTCTCTTGGTTAAGCCCAGGAATAAATGAATGGGATATATGGTAGATGTCTGTTTAATTTTTAAGAAACTGCCCGACTGTTTTTCAAAGTAGTTATACCATTTTCCATTCCCACCTTATTTAAATAAGATATGAAAATAACCTGACGGTATTACGTTCCCACGCTGAGGAAGCTTTCTAAATGTACACTTTGAATTCGCTGAATCTACTTTCCCACAGGGTTACATTTTTCAGTCTGGCTTGTCTTGAGTATTTGTCTTAAACATTTGCACAAAACAATTTTGAAGCAGAGAATACAGAACAAAGAGGGCACATAAATACTTTTTTAAAAATTGAGACAGAGGTTTTTCTCATGAGAACTGCAGAAAAGTCCTTATGAATCACCTAGATAAAGGTGGGAAGCAGCAGCACAGCACAGGGGGATCAACTCGGTGCTTTGATGACCTAGAGGGGTGGGATGGGGAGGGTGGGAGGGAGGCTCAAGAGGGAGGGGATACGGGGACACGTGTGTGCATATGGCTGATTCACTTTGGTGTACAACAGAAACTAACACAGTATTGTGAAGCAATTATACACCAATAAAGATCTATTTTTTAAAAAATGCAGTTAGTAGATAAACTTACCCTGGTTTTGTGTCATTTACTACACAGTGATAGGTAAATGTCCCAAACATCTGAACTCCTAAAATTCCATAAAGAAGTAGAAAGAAAAGGAGGAAAATGGAAACACTCCATATTTGTTCTCCTGATCGCCTAGGGGGAAAAAATAGGTAAAGTAGGTAAAACTTACCCCAAAAAATCATAAACCTATCCCCTTAACTTACGTAAAAGCAGTGCTTACTTCAAAATATTTGTAATTCTGGTCCTTGGTAGTTCAAATCGGAAATAAATCCGGAATGCCCGGATCATAATTAGTGGCCGTGGGATCCGTAACATGCCCCAAGGGGACATCTGATCAACTATATCAGCGATTTCAAATACCTGCAAATTCAGAGGTGAACAAACAATTCAGACTTTCGCTTAGCAATGCTTGTAGTCAGGACTATACAGACAGCATCAGAGGTTCATCCTGTGCCCTGCATTATCTTCCACCGAAATCAACTTTCTTTGGAGTACATTTTGAAGCTATAGCTTTCTTAAGAGAAACAAATACATAAACTAATGAAAGTGTCGTTAATCTTGTTCATTTCCTGTATAATCCATCAAGGCACAGTTTTTATTACAAAGTGCCAACGTAGAATACAGAATAAGCATGCTAAGCCTTCCTCACTAATAATGGTCTTTGGTGGAACTTTTTGAGTATCCAGAACACAAAGTAATGGCGAAAGGGTTAAAAATACTATGAAAAAGATGAAAAAGAATTCCATTTACCAGTAGAGGCAAGATGATAATTAGGAAATGTTTGTCAATCATACAATAGTTATTAAATGGAAAAGAACATATTTTAAATGTAGGATGAAATTAATTATTGGAGAGGTGAGCTTTATAAAAATAAGGACAGCTTATCAATAAGCACCATGATGAGTTTGCAGGATGCACTATGAATTTATTTTATTCTGATTTTTTAAAAATGAAGAATACAGTAACTTCAGTTGAATTAAATGCAAAATCAAGCCTGAATGAATGCATGGGAATGAATTCTACTGGTTTTCAATAAAATCCGTCCTTCAGGCCTTTTTAATCTATGTTCCCCATTTCTCATAGTAAGGTGTTTTCTATTAGCAATACAGCATTTTATGTTAACAAATATTTATCCCAATGTATTTATATTATTTTAGCTATTTTTAGTGAGAATTCAGTCACATAAAGGACTGGAATTTTAATTTTTAAATTCAAATTTTTATTCTACAAATACAGAAACCTCACTCCATGTTCTTTCCTTTATTTCAATGAATATACTTCTAACATCTGTTTAATAAGAAATAATCTCATATGGTACTAATTTTTATTTCTGATTGAGAAATAATTCAAAAATGTGACTGACAATGATTAAAATGTTAGGCTTTTTAAAACCAATAAACATTAAACAAATCATGTTTTGGGAAATTACACAATCACATGGTCTTTGGTGGAACTTTTTGAGTATCTAGAACACAAAGTAATGGCGAAAGGGTTAAAAATACTATGAAAAAGATGAAAAAGAATTCCATTTACCAGTAGAGGCAAGATGATAATTAGGAAATGTTTGTCAATCATACAATAGTTATTAAGTGGAAAAGAACACATTTAATATGCAGGATGAAATATATATATACTCTTTAATATATCTATTTAGATTTTCAATGTAAAATCATGCCCATTTTGGAAAATACCCCCTTGTAATTTAAAAGTGTTTAATTACCTGTAACACCAATGAAACCCAAAGGCAAAAGACCATAAATCCATCAAAAACACACCAGCGATCTTTCACATAGGAACTATCCCCCTAAAAATAAATTTCACATGGGTTATCAGACAAAATGAATAATTTCAAAAAACATCTGTGGAGGGAATAATCAAGTGTTAATTCAGTATAAGCTATCTACAATTTTTGTATCATAATTGAGCAGACTTTCCAAAGGAACACTTTTAGCATTTTAAATGGTATTATATATGAGGAAAATAATTTATAAAACACAAGTAACTGCAGAACTTTGCATGTAAAATTTTAAATTCGTGCAAAGGTAAAACATCACTATTTTTTCTCTTAGCCACACAGAGTCCACCACATAAGGAACCAGAGGCCATCCTACTTAATAGGCTGCTTAGGTCCTAAAGCCGCCTCTTCCTATAAGAACAAAGGTTAGTCCTTCACTGGCCATTGAGCACACAGTGGTCAGTGAAGGACTTCAAATCTCTGGGAACAACCATCATTAGTGGAAAATTAGCCAGGAATTCATGTTGAACTGAATTAGAAGTGAAGATGAAGAAACTTGCCTTCATTTTCAAAATAAACATATAGCGACTTAAGTTTAATTGGGATTTTAAATGTAAAAGAAAGATAAGGAAGACATACTACTTTCATTTTTTACTTGTGAGTCTACTCTGACATTAGAATGCATTATTTTATAAAATGTTTTTAAATGTTAACTTTTTAAACATGTAAATATACAGTATATTATGTTGATAAGTGTTACACAGAAAAATTAAAGTATATATTTTCAAATTGACTTTTAGTAAACAAATGTGTTCTTTACTTGTATGTTGAGCAAAAAGTGAGAGAAAAATATCACTTGATCTTTATTTGAAGAACTAGGCATAATTGTGATTGCTTAAAAAGTGTAAAAAATTCCAAAACTGAAAACTGAAATTTTATGGGGCTCAGCAGAGAACTATTTTAAAATAGTAACAATTAAAAGTAAATATTAGGCAAGAAAGAGAATAATTACAGATCACTGGGTACCCAGGCACCCAAATAGAATGAGCTTATACAATATTTCTTCCCGAACACTATTACTATTTTATTCCTATTTTGCATTAAAAAATGTTGCATGTAGTATTACTACAATTAACCTCTATTGTTGCTCATAATTTGCTTTAGTAACAAATTATGTTCAATTAGATACAGGGTAAGAGCTTCTCATTATATTGAGGTTTATTTAAAATATAAAAAGTGAGGATAAATAGTGGTATTTCCCTGGGAGGGGAACAGAATGGCAAGAACCAAAGGCGGAAGAGAGATATAATTTTCACAGAATATCCATACATGTATCTTTTGACTAATGGTCATGTGTTACATATTTTAAAATAGATTTTCAATATTAAATTTTTTAAAAGTTGAAAATTTTAGCTTTAACAAAAATCACTTTGTCAGTTGGTGCAAATAAAGTCAAATTTGAAAAACTTGGGCCTCACAAATTCACAACGTAAAGTTATCAGTAACAGAGTTGGCTGAATTTTTGTTTTTTATTTACTACATAAATTTGTCTGCTAAAGAAATTGATGTTGCAAAGCTGCCCTGGAGTATAATTTGAAATACATAAAAGCATTATTTTAAATCATTTAGGGTCCCAAATAAAACAAAAGCATAAAAACACATTTGAATTTCAAATGACCTCATGTTATGAAAACTGGCTTAGCAAAAACTACTACTGTATAACGTAGAAAACTATTTCTGAATTATGAAGTCATTTGAGTTGCATTATCTGGAACGTTTTCTGCTTTAGATGTTCCAGAAATTCACAGTGGCATCTGGCTGTCCCCAGTAAGAACCACCACATACTAGATGGCACATAATGGTCAACTAAAACTGGCTTCTTTTTACTTGTCTCGTATAATACGTGAAATAATCCGCTGAGCAGAAGTTTTATACATTATGTTTTGGTTCCTGTTTCCAGGGGTCGTCCATTATTTATAAAAACCTTTAATAAGCTGTGTTATAGTGACCTGGGATACAAAGGCCAATAACACCCAGATTTTTCCCATCTTTTCTTTTAACCTTTTGTCCTTTAGCATCCATTGTTCTTCATGCTGTTCCATCTTCCTGAAAAATTCCCCACAGTCTGTGCCAACTTTTCCCTCCATACTTTGGTCTGACCACAGCCTACCCTGATCAGCACTTTTGCTCACACATCATGCTACCACCAGCAACTCAGCTCATGTAAATAAATAAGGTTCATACTGTGTAACCTACAGAAGAGTCCTTTGTAATCCCCATCCAGTCGTTTAATGAGTTTATATTTTGGTCCCGGCAGTTTGGGCTTCCTACTTAAATCTTCTCTAAATTTATTCTCTGGTGTTGCATTTAAGAAAAGGTCTATTCCCCACTGTAAATGTTTGAGTTTGTTCTGAAGGTTAGTAGCATCTTGGAACTTACTAGACTATTTTGGATGGCACTCCCACCACCTAGCACCATGTACAACATACAGCAGATATTAAATGATTGATGAGATAAGCACAGGAACCATGTCTTAGAGCCTCTGTAGATTATAATGCAGACAGTAAGAAGTCAATGCATATGCTTCATGAATGCATCCATGCATCTATCCATTCACTGAAGCTACTAAAATTGTTCCTTTAAAGAAATGATTCTTTGCAGCAAAAAGAGAAAGATGGAGTACCTTTCAATGCAATACCTTAGAGTTAAGACTCTTTTCCTTCATAATCATGAGAGATCACAGTTGAAATGATGAGATAACATTTGGATATTTCTTGGATTAGTGTAGTTTGAATCAGCAAAGACTATGTGCCATGCAAATAGGAACCAGGTCAGGGTTTATATAATTTTTGCATTTTAATGAAATTGTAGATATGATTGAATTGTAAATATGAATTGAAATTGATATCATATCAATCATTATTGCTAATCACCAAGGCTCCATAAGTGTAAAATACCTTTTAATAAACAGAATAGGGACTTTGAAACCTGGCACTTTGAAATATAATTGAAGCCAAGTGGGACTCTGCCCTGTCCCCCACCTCTTGTTTGTAGAAAAGCTCTAGCCTCCTAGGCCTTCCCAGAGCTCCAAAGAGCAAGTTTAACCACAGAAGTGAGAAAATACAGAAACGAAGGAAAACAAGGCAAAATAATAGTTTAGCCATAAAACAAAGTCAAAGACTTTTAATTCCTCTTCAAGGCCTATAGATACTATTCTGAGCCCATATCCTTGAGGTACTAAAGGATACTAAAACCTCCATCAGGTGGAAGAAGTTAACTGCGTGCTGACCACCAGCACCTAGACACCAGACTGGTTGGAACCAGAAGGCAGTCACCTCACCACCAGCTCCATGAGCTGATCATGTACTACTTGACCCTCACCCTCACCTTGCCTTTAAAACTCCTTCCCTGAAACCCTTCAGGGAAGTTGGGTCCTTGAGCATTAGCCACCCACTCCCCTTGCTTGGTCTTGCAATAAACACTGCACTTTCCTTCAGCACAACACAGTGTCAGTAGATTGGCTTTACTGCGGGAGGGTGAGCGGACCCAAGTTTGGTTCGGTAACATAATCTCATATTGCATTTTGTGTCTGACGTATTCAGCAAGTTGCCTCTTTTTCAATTTGTATTTTCAAAGACTCTTCACCATAACTGGTTAAATGGTGCTATGATTCAATTTGTCAGTACATCCAGGTCCTTTTAAAATCCTACTGTATCAATGTTCAAGTTACAATATTTGTAAATAATAAATTGTCCCTTTCCCCTGCTTCCAAAATGTTTAACCAGAACACACACGAAGGCCCAGTGGTATCTGAGAAGTTTTAATGCCTCCAATATGAAAGAAAGGTTTTAACTTGTTTGTTGCATCAACAAGAAAGGGAGAGCAGAGAGTATTTGAGTTATGGGCAGAAATCAGCAGGCTGGTGCCTGAGGAGATGAGTTATTCAAGAGCTGTCCGTCAATTTTTATAAAGATAAACACTTGGAGGCTGCCAATCAATTATACAGTATAAGAGAGGAACTTAAATTGCCATGCAAGGATTTAACAAGCAGAGGAACCAAACACATTTACCTGAAGACATTTATAGGGATATAGTTTGCAGTTAAAAAACAATACGCACGGGTGTAGTTTCATAAGCACACGATTTATTGTTCTGAGTTCCCAGGGCCCATCTGTCACTGTGTCTTAGCATTATTATTTATTACTTCAACAGTGCTCAGAGGATGCATGCTACTTTTAGCCAGGTCTATTGCCAGATGAAAAATAGACAACTGAGAATTGTCTGAAGAATTCACAGTCTGCACTACGTGGAACGCTTTGCAGCAACACAAACATGTATCACACAAATGCTTTATTTATGCCTGTAGGGATTTGGTGAGCTAGAATGCTTCTTGGAACAAGAGTTAGTGGGGGAGGCAATTAGAAACAAATTATTGGGCAGTAGGAATTAATTGGCAGATGTAGTCAAGTTTGGGGAATGTTATAAAAGATGTGAAATCCTTTAAACACATAAATTCCTCTAATGAAAAATTTGAAGGACATTTTCTGCCGGAAGGACTCTGTGCTCCAATTTCTCTCTCCTGTCGTGCGTGGGGCGTGTGACCTCCACAGTAAGCTTCTCAAATACAAATCAGAGGGTGTCACTCTCAGATTCGTATGCCCCACGCATCTTAACTGACCACAGAAGGAAGCCTGAGCTCCTCGCAGGGCTGCAAGGCCCTCCATGGTGCAGCCGGGCTGCCTTCACAGGGTCCCTTCCAGCTGCTCCCTGAGCATCCCATCTGCTACTTCTGACTACGCAGTGCCCCAAGGCTCCAGGGTGTTCCAAGCCTGTGTGTCTCAAAGCGTTGCTTTTCTCTCTCTGTGAAACCCTTTACTTCCCTTTGCCAATAACCCCGCCATAGACTACACCTCCTCACTTCAAGACATCACTTCACATTGCTCTTTCTTCAAGACTTCTCTGACATCTTCAAGCAGATTTTTTTCACTATTTTTTGTGCCCCCTTCCCCTGTATCTGTTTCAGACCATTATTACAGCATTTTCACAAAATACTGAAGGTCTATCTCTCACTATCTGAATTCTCACTACACAAATCTTTGCTATTTACATTTGCTAAAGTACTTGCTCCCAAATCACTATGTAACTAGAAGAACCACTATAGCGAATCTGTACACGTGCCAGTGGAAACATTGAAGTTGTCCGTGAATCCTGCAAGGAGGTAAGATGTGCATGCAGCTCTGCTGTTCTTGGGGGCTAAATCTTGTGCTGGCAATGTTTATCTAAATACTTAACAATTGATAAGCATTAAGTGTATCACTACCTCCTCTTCCCTCTCTTCCCATTAGCCTTTCCGGGGACGTGGACTTGAGTCTACCAACCCAAATAAAGTATATGTATGCATCGTGTTCTATTTTAAGCACCAGGTTACAATTTTCTTAATAAGTTTTCACATTGTTTGGCAAAGAGCTGTACAGATATTTTAGCTGGAAATCAGTGCATAATAAACATACACTGTTAGTAAATTAAACAAACTAAATAGTGGATAATTTCATAAGAAAATTTACTTCATCAAACAGACCCCCAACAGACCAAGCAAGTCTAAACAGACCAATTTCCCTAGGAGAAACAGAAAGAAGAGGGAGTCCTACCAAAAAGGCACTAGAATCAGATGGTTTCACAGGGGATTTCTAACAAACTTCCCAAGTTAAAATAATTTCAAGGTTACTCAGATTATTTTAGAGCATATAAGTGCACACACACACATACACAGAGAAAATCTAACATCAAAACCTGACAAGGATTAGACAAAACAAGGAAAATAATAAAATATAATGAAATAACTGATTAAAACAGAACAAAACTATGTCGTGACCCAGCTGAGTTTTTTCTGGGAATGTAAGGATAGTTCAATTATTAGGAAATCCACGCTATTACAAGAGCTAAGGAGAAAAATCATCATTCAACAAAATTTAAAAGCTATTCAAGATACAACTCTTGAAAGTTGGAATTAATGTTTATTCCCTTAACTTAATAAAATATGCATACTTAAAATGCAAATCCTTCAGATTAATTAGGAAACATTAGAGGTGTTCTAAATAAAGACAGGAGCTAAGCAGAGATGCACACTGTCTCTAAAACTATTTAAAATTTTGTAGGTATTATTAGCTGGCCCAATTAAATAAGTGGCAGCAATTAGAGGCATAAGAATTGGAAAGAAAAAGGCAAACCTGTCTTTATTTGTATACGATATGATGATATGGAAATAACCAAAGAATGAATGGAAAAACTACTATAAACAATACACGAATTTAGTAAATTTAGTAAAGTGGCAGGATATAATATTAACAAACAGAAATCAACAGCCTTCATTTAAAAGAACAACAGTAAGTAAGAATACATAATAAAAGATAAGACCCCCACGCCAAGAGCAAAAAAAAAAAATATCAGAGCATAAATATAACAAAAAACGTGCAAAATCTACATGAGGAAAACTATAAAACAGTCCTTTAAGGTGCAGGAGCAGACTTGATAGAATGGAAAGATTGCCCATGATCTGGGACAGGAAGAAGTGTGTGTGGTACCAATAACCACAGGCAGAGCCAAAGACAATGACAAATGGGGGAAAATAACTGCAACTTACATCATAAAGGGCTAATACTCCTAACACACAAAAAGTGCCCAAAATTTGAGTGAAAAATAATGACAACTTGAAAATGGCCTTTATATACATAGAATCAGGTTCAACCTCACCCGTCAAATGGAAATGCAAATTAAAACCACACCGAGTTACCATTTGCCACCCAACAGATTGGCAAATATCCAAAAGTTTGACAACCTGTTTTGTGAAAGAGACACCTGTGTACATCACTGGTCAACAGTCAAAAAGGTTCAGGGAATATGGAGTAAACAGAAACTATTAAATAGAGCCACCAGGAAGCAATTATCCAAACCTAGACTGTAGAACATTCTGCAAGACAAAAGACTCACTTTCCCAATGGATCAATGACATGGAAAATTTTTTTGCGGGGCATGTGGGGCTGAGACCTAAAGGATTTAAAGAGACTTAAATGAGATTTTAAAATATAACAAATACACTTTGTATAGCTTCTTTGAGTCCTAATTCAAAGAAGCTAACTGTAAAAGAAAATATTTTAGACACCTGGGGAATTATGAATACGGATGGGGTATTAGCCTACATTAAGGAATTATTGTTAATTGTGCTAGATGCAATATGTAAAAAAAAAGATTTTGTCAGTCAGCGATGCATAAGAAGTTGTTTCTGAAATAATCTGATTTCTCAGATTTGCTTTAAGATGAAATAGAACTGGGAAAATACTGATAACTGTTGATGCTGAGTTACAGGATCCATTACAACTATAATCTCTACTTTCCTGTAAATTTTTAAAGTTCCATAATAAAAAGTTTTTAAAAAGTTAAAAGTGAAAAAAGTAGTGCATTGACTGTGAACTCCCTTTTTAAAGATAGCACACAATGAATTATTGTAAAGAGAAGCAAAAAATTTGACCCAATAACTGTATCTTAAGCATCATCTTGTTAAAGTCTTGAAACCCTTATACAAAATAAGGCCCTTCTTCATCAAAATTACCTCACTTGAGATGCTGATACAGCCAGTAAAAGAAAAGGCTAGGATTTGAGTCAAATCTGTCATTTGTCAGACCCTAACACCCAATCTGCTGTTTCATTATACCACTGTCTCTCTAAATAGTACAATTTGAAATACTTTAGAGACAGCATCATCTACATATTTTTAATGAAGGTTAAAATATAAATAAATAAAAACCCTCTGTGAAGGTTAGGGTTACAGAAGAAAGAGATATCCCAGAACAGAAATTTTCTTCCTTTTCTTTTTCTTTTATTTATTTATTTATTGTCTCCCAATGGTGCCAATTTCATGTTACACATTCCTTGTGTTACAGTCCTGGAATTCCTTTCCATTTCAAGTCCTTTCTTTTTCCCTCTTAATATGTTCAGGATGCCTCAGGTGAATGACATCCTGCTGATTACCTTCGCACTGCAAATTTATCACATGACGTTTATTCTGCATTCCATGAACCAACAGGTGCCTCCTTGGGCTAGGTGGCATGCTCACCCCACAGGTGGCATGAAAGACCCTCCTCCGGCCTTCACGAAGTCAGCAGTGGGGCCATCTAGCTCCTTCTCAGATATTCCAAGACTTTGTGCCTTATACAATTGACTTCACTTTTTAATTATTCTTAATGTATTATATTTTCACCAACATCTGGAGTTATACCCTTTTTAAAAAGACTTCAATATCGATAAAATAAAGAGACGTTTTGTTTGACTGAAATTAATGTGAAAGCATTAAACTGATTTAGATTCTCAATGCACTTTGGTTTTCAGCTTAAATAACACGGAAACACTCACCTTGACAATCCCCCGGATGTGCATTTTTGCTATCATCTCTGCCGTGTACAGAAACATCAACAGAGTGTCCAGGGTGAACGTCACGTACTGCAGAGGAGGGTAGTGTTCGAAGGTCATGGGCGTGTTCATGCAGACAGAAATGACGCTGATGATGGCACAGATGCGCAGCAGAGAATGAACCCACTGCAGAGATGGTCCAGAGTTACTATCTTGATGCCACGAAATATCCTAAACTTGTGTTATGAACCATGCTATTTGGAAAACGTAATAACGAGATGGAAATATTTCACCAGTAGGGAGAAAAGGAAGAAGGAAACTAACACGTTAAATACTTGCAACGTGCTAAATATTTTCACGTATTTTACATCGTTTAATTCTCAAAGCAGCCTAATTTCCACATGAAAACACTAAGACTCAGGAAGGTTAAGGGGCTTGTCTGTGGTCCTGCATTAATAAAAGCCAAAGCTTCGATGTGAACCAGGTCAGGCTACCCCAATGGCTCTGATACTTACCACGGCATAAGGCCATAATATAGGGAGATTCTGATTCAATCAATATATGTATTGATAGAAAAGTGATATGCTATTACTTTCATAGTTTTTTTTTTTTTTTGCGGTACGCGGGCCCCTCACTGTTGTGGCCTCTCCCGTTGCGGAGCACAGGCTCCGGACACGCAGGCTCAGCAGCCATGGCTCATGGGCCCAGCCGCTCCGCGGCATGTGGGATCTTCCCGGACCGGGGCACGAACCCGTGTCCCCTACATTGGCAGGTGGACTCTCAACCACTGCGCCACCCGGGAAGCCCCTACTTTCATAGTTTTTTATGTACTATGAGCACCTAGAAACGGGGACCATATTTATTGTAACTTCCCTGGAATCTAGCACAGTGGCCTATCCTAGTAGACCTCAAATGCTTCTTAAAATAAATTGATACATATTCCATAAGAAGGGTTTTCTTTCTATTTTATCTTATATGAAACACCCTTGTATAAAAATATATTTTAAAATCTGCTCTCATCCTATATTTTCAAAGCTTAATAATAAATGGACTTTCCTCTTTACTTTGGAGAACATATTTTATAAAAATTTAGCCCAGATATCTCTCCTAAAATGCCAAAAAATAAGTTTGTGTGCAATTCTGGTAGTGCACGTGCTGTTTGAAGACTTTCCTTAACCCCAACCTAAAGAAGTAGGAATTAAAAAGATAAACGTGTGTGTATATATCTGTATATGTGTAGGACATAAAATTACTCATGTATAACATCTTATTATGAAAACTAATACCTAGGATAAAAAAATATTAACGCATCTGCATGCTAAACCTACACAATTTATATTACTAGCTAATCAGTTAGTACACAATTCCTAAACATAATCTCAATGTGTTATTTATTGACTGTCCTGTATATATATGCAGTCACATTAATCCTTTAATATACTCCCCCTGAAAGAAGATGTTTTAGTTTCATAGTAGATGGTTCTGCAGCTACACAAGCTAGCAAGCACCCACAATGAGAAACAGAAAACTTGTCAGAACTTTGAGGAGACTCAGACACTTGTAGGCTGGTGAGTGGGTTATAATATTAATGACAGTTGTAATATTTGCATGAAGACATAATGCTGCTAATTCCATACCATATAAGTCACTGATGATTAACTTTAAAAGTTGATGTACTTTTCATGGCAATTAGGAAGCGCTTCAATAAACATCAGTGTGTAAATTTAGCCCCATCTGGGCCTCCAACACAAAGGATCTAATTACCCAAGAGTTTCAAAAGATGGGTTCTCCCACAACAAAACTGTAGTGAATTTGAAGAATGAATTCTCATTAAGCATTAATCATTCTAGTGTTTACACGCCTACATCTATAAAACTACCTGCTTCAGAAGTTCTCAGAAAGCTCTGTATGTGGTGGATACTAAGAAAAAGTTAGCGACTGCTTTATTGTCTATTCTGTTCAAAGTCTCTAAACATGAATGGAAGACCTACTATGTGTCAGAAATTATGCTGGGCTCTGAGGACACACAAATGGAAACAATACAGTTTTGACTCATCACTACTTTCAGTCTGATGTGCATAACATAGATATTTATATACAATATCATTTCTACTTACATATAAAGTAGGATAAGTGGAAAGAGAAGAGGTTCATTCCATCCGTGGTGGGGAAGGGTCAAAGGAGGAAACTCAGAGTGGATGGGGGCAGGGGTCACATCTGAGCCTTCATGGGTGAGGGTGATGTGACTCATCTGAGCTGCTGGGAAAGGGTCTCCAGGCAAAGGAAACAATGTGAACTGGCCGAACATCTCAGAGGAGCAGGAAGCCACCGACAAGTAAACAGAGTGTATGTAGATGCAGGAAAGGGCAGCTGCTGAACAAGTTAGAACCACAATATAAAGGGCTTTGCATGTGATACTAACACATTTTGATTTGCACTGTAGGTAAAAGGGATGTTTCAATGATCGTAAAGCAGAAGGGTGACGGAAACAGACACGGAAATGTGGAAAGAAATGTGAGCAGGCAAGAAGCAGTCTTGAGGACAGATTAGACGGGAAAGGACAGGGGGACTAAGGCCGATCATCTTTATCATGGTCAAGGTCAAGGGAAAGGCAAGCACTGCGAGAGTAGCAGTTCATTTCCTGAATTCAGCCCCTGTTGCTGGTTTGAGAAAGGAGTTTATACCACTCAGGATCCTAGAGCTGAACTTTCCAGCCCTGTGACTATGCCTTCCGCCCCAGCTCTGGCTGCTAGACTGTCTCGTGTACAATGACACTTGGTGTAGCCAGGCTTCCCCTCAAGTTCCCATCAGCTTAATTAGACAGAGAGGTGACAAAATTCTTCAGAGACACTATCCACTATCTCATTAACCTTTCCGTGCAACTCAGAAGGAGACCTTTAATTCCAAACATCTGATTGTCTCCTCAGGTCCCTGCATCATGAGAAGGTAAGTAAAGGAAGTCTGGTCGAACAGGTTCCTCATCTCGGTCTCCAGCTTTGGGTCAATCTGAGAAGTGGTATTAACTCTACATTTCGTGGCTCTGAAGGGAGAAGGGGGAGCCAGACCACCTCTCATGCCTTCCTCTGTGAATAACTCACAGCGGCACCTCATTATTTCATCGGGATTGTTCTCAACCTCCAGACTCCGAGACTCATCCACGTTCTACTGCAGTTCAGACATTTCAAAGCCAAAGCTACATGAGTTTTGAATGAAATGAATCAAATTTCCTTTATATCAGCGTGGGCCTCTCCACACTTCCAAAAAGAAACTTACTGGCTTGTTAATCCAGAGTATGTCTGCATTGTCCGACAGAGATTCATCAGGACCAAAGTCAGTGACCGGCTGGGCCTCCACCCTGGAGCTCTGCTTCCTTTTGAGCATGCTGAAGTTAGCTCTGGGGAGCAAGTTCAAAACCACAGTCTGGAAGAGGAAATGGAGAGTGTGTTAGTGCCCTAACCCATCCTTACGTTAATCACAAAAACAGAGTCCCCCATGTGTGCCTAGGCATTTGTTAATTACACCCATGTTCTACTGTACTGTATATAATCAATACATGCAGCTAGAAATTTTTAAAGGATGAGATAAAAGTTAATAAAAAAACTTCAATTTTTTTCTCTCAACCCAACAGATCGTCTTGTGCACGTCATAAAACATTTTGTGTGCTACTTTAGAGACCCCTGGGGTCTAGATTAACTGGGGTAAAATAGCTTTGCCTCTTAGGATTCACATATTAATAGGGAATTTTTGGAGGTCTATGTTCATATACCTAGAGCTGTCTCCACTTAAAGGTGGTCTGTGCCAGAGCACAGCTGACCAATCCAGATAAACTACTCAGATCCTTCTCAGAATTTTCCCCTGGGGTTAATTTAATGTGACACTCACAGACATTTATTGCCAACAATAGGATAGACCCAGGTTGACCTCCCAATTTTGTCCTTGCCATGGTGGATGGGAGCCAGAGAGAATGGGGCAGAATCTACTCTAAATAAAGCGGTTTTTTCTTTTATGAATTTTGTAACTATATCAATTCTTCTACCAACCCTGAAGTAAACCCAAAGCATACTGAAGAGGGGTATGATGAAATGCCTGCTTTCCACTTAGATTTTCACAATTCTGAGTCATCCCCATCTTGCTATACATGTCACCTCCCTTTAGCCATCGCTACCACCAGCCACAATCCAGCAGCTACACGTTGGGCCCTCAGGACACAAGTAGCAAATATAAGTGCAAAAATGTGGGAGGAGATACTGTAAAGGCAGGCAGTGCCTGATCACCCCTGCACCCACAGAGACTTCTCCTTTGATTAACACCTGCATTGAATCCTTTTGTTTTTTTAAATATTTATTTATTTGGTTGTGCCAGATCTTAGTTGCGGCTCACAGGCTCCTTAGTTGCAGCATGCATGTGGGATCTAGTTACCTGACCAGGGATCAAACCCAGGCCCCCTGCATTGGGAGCTCGGGGTCTTAATCACTGCGCCACCAGGGAAGTCCCTGGCTTGAGTCTTAAAGGAAGGAGAGGAGCTAACATTTTCTGGATATGAACTATGTTTTGGGCACTTAGCAATGATATTTAATTTTTACAACTGGTGGAAGAAAGGAAACATCTTGCCTTTTTATGCAAGCATGAGGAAGTCCAGTCTCGAGGCAGCAACCAAGGTCACCAAAGCAAACTTGAGGTTTTAAAAGAAGCTCTGACTACAAAGTCTAAGGTGTTCGTAGTAGACCAAACTGGTGCTGAGGAATGATTAGGAGAATTTCTAAAGGCAGGTGAGGGAGGGTAAAGGTCCTCCAGGCAGCACACAGCCATGGCGACACCGAGTCAGGAAAATGCAGTAGTTCTATCACCAGGAAGGTGCGCTGGCTCTGCCCTCTGCTGCTCCTTGGGGCTGGAGAAAGAAACCTAACCGAGGTCAGCGAGTGCCACTCAATCCTCGCGGGAACAGGAGAAGAACAAGAATGTGTTTGCAGATTGTGTACGTGTGTGCAACATTCACTGGGAAAGAGAACACAGAAGCTCAGGACCAATCGCCTTTGATCCGATTCCCCGTGTTCGAGCGCCTACCTCTATGTCTGTTCTCCTTGATGCACCAAGGTAGGTGCATCTGCCTGGCCCTTTTATTCCCAGAAGAAATCAAGCTAATTGCCTTTAAGATGTGCTAGGTATTTCCAGGCTGCCTTGCCCTGAATATTGGATTTGAATATGGGTTTTGCAGCAGGCTGCACTAATTAATTTTATTTTACATAATTGGAGTTAGGGACTCTTGACATTGATATGTAAATATATGCAGAATATTTAAATTATGCTTGTTCTTGGATTTACTGTGGAGCGGGGGAACATCTGGTGGCCTCAATTTGGGATGCTTCTTGAATGACAGTCTCCTATGTACCCAAAAACTGGATACAGAATCTTTTAGAAATCCTTCAAGATTACACAAGGCAAAGGAGGAAATAAAGAGAGGTTTTACAATGTAGTTCAAAGATGATACAAGAAAAATGTATAAGCCTAGCTACTGGCCATAATACCTTTCCACTGAGCCAGTGGAAGCTTATGAATGGCCATTTAACTGCTCTGTGATCTGGCCATAAGTTAAGGTCTCAAAAAATTTTGATGTATAAATGTGAAATCTTCACATATGAATTCCATGCACCTTGTATTACTAATATTCCATCTGGAGCAAAACCGATTTTTGATTATGGATTTGTTATCTTAGAGAAGTAGACATCCAGAATTGATTTTTTTTTTAAATCTCCACGATGGCTATATTTGAGCCACCAAAACAGTGCAACTACAATGAATGACGTTAGTTATCATCCACTTTCAAAATTTACCTAATACAAAACTGTCACCGAATCAAACAGTGCCCAGGAAAACCTGGTTGATCCACAAATATATTAAAACTCAACAAATATGTATTTATCAACAACTAGCTCCTGAATCACTGAACCTATAACTGATTTAATAATATTAAATAAGTTCAAGTTACAAATATATGAAGAATCCAAAATTAATTTGAGGCAATTAATTGTAATAATTTTCTTTTATATACAGAAATATTGTCATACACATTCATTCATGTTGAATCAATATAACTGAGTACAGCAAACCTATTATTCCCCGGATAAAGACCAGGAGGAATATTTAAGTATCCTAGGTACGCTTATTATTTTGATGGGAAATTGCTTCTGTGTATCTTAGCCTTATCATTATCATGTACTTATAACACGATGTTTTTTTTCTCTGTTTACAGAAGCGTCCTTCATAAGGCAGTGCACTAAGTTTGGCAAGCGGGGTTTCCAGTTGCTTTTTCATACTTATTAAAAGTAGCTGGTATTTAAATAGTTCAACAGTGGGTGGAGGCTGCACAGTTATAATATGTTCATTGTTGAATCTTTTACTTGGAAACAGCTAGTGGCAACTCAGGGAGAAAAGACACTTTGGTTCATGGCTCTCTTTTAAATGGTTAAAATCCAGTTTTGTAGTCCGTGACAGCAATATTTTACTTCCTCAGGTCACCCCAGCTCTCTCTGGACCAAAAGAAAATATATTTATTTTTCTTTAGCTGCGAGGTACTTGCAACCCCGTTGGTCTTTTCTTCTCCTTGGAACTCTCTTGGGTTTGCATTCGTCTTTTGAATCTTCCATCTTCTACATTATGGTTTCTAGCATGTCCTTTACCTGCTGTCCTGTGTGCCTGTCCTCTGTACTTAACCCCTCAAATGAGCATCTGTTCCCACAGTTTCCATCACTGTCTGTCGATGGCCAGCAGCTTCTATTACTGAGTCATGTACCTACGTGGCTTCTCCCTCAACTGTAGCCATGCCAACACCATCATCACTTGAAAATCAACAGGACAGGTGCTACCAGTCTGACATACTTCTACTTCACCCCTTCCTCTCAATTCCCAGATCCTACTGCCCTGAACTTTCCTAGTCCCCGCAGGCAGGTCTCCACACATGCACAGACTCCCTCGTCACAGATTCTCACTAGTGACTTCTTTCCTCCCTCCTCACTCCACGTATGTCCAAGGTCCCTTTCCCTTTATCCCCGTTACTAGAGCCCTTTCCAGGCCATGGGACCTCAGGTCTGGATGGTCACAAACATCACCCCCTTTTTTTTTTCCGGCCACGCTGTGCAGCTTGCAATGTCTTAGTCCCCCAACCAGGGATCGAACCTGGTCCCGGCAGTGAAAGCACAGATTGTAACCACTGGACCACCAGGGAATTCCTGACATCACCCTTTCTAATATGTCCTGTATTTTATATTAGAATCAGCTTCCCAACACACTGAGATGGTCTTTCCCGTAACCCAGGCAACCTCCCCTTATCCTGTTTCCCATTCATTCATTCACACAGAAAATACTACGAATCCACTGTGACTTCCATCAGTTGATTTCCTCCCAAATTAAGCTGACCTCCATGTAAAAGACTCCTTCCCACACAGATGTTTACTGAGGGTTTATCCCGGGCCAGGCCTGGTTCTAAGCATGTCATATATCATGTCATTCGATTCTTACAAGAACCACTTCACAGATCAAGAAATTTAGGTACAGAGATGAGCCAGGATATAAACCAAGACAAAGTGATTCACGGAACTATTAAATTAAAAATTAAGTACAGTATAAAATAGATAATAAAAAGAAAACTACTTTTCAACATTTTTTCTTTTTTAAAGCGTGATCTTTTTAAAAATATTTATTTATTTATTTGGTTGCGCTGGGTCTTAGTTGTGGCTCGCAAACTCTGAGTTGCAAGATCTAGTTCCCTGACCAGGGATCGAACCCAGGCCCCCTGCATTGGGAACTCAGAGGCTTAACCACTGCACCACTAGGGAAGTCCCTCAACACTTTCTCATCATACAACCTTGTAATTCTAAACTCTCTTAGCATTGATTATTGTTTGCGAAAATACTACAGACATTCTCCTCTCTTAAAACTGAATCCATTTGTATTATATGAGTCATATTATAGTTATTCCAGCCACACATTGATAAAAATGTGTCGATTTTCTTTTTCTGGTAGGAAATCATCAAACGCTTTATCAAATCTATCTAAATGTCACTTTCAGATAGCTGAAGTTATTAGGCATGCATCCAGCCTTTTTCCTTGAGGATGAATCCTAGAAATAGTCTATTATGCTTTTATCATCTTTTGTCTAAATTGTGGGAAAAAAAACACATAAAGAAGCATTTACTAACTCCCATCTGATAATCTTACATCATGTAGTAAAGAGACAGCTGTAGTAAAGAGACAGTAAAAGAGACAGCTTCCTAAGGATGACAGATTTCTTCCTTTCTTAGAGTTAGTTTTAGTCTCATAAATTCTTGACCAAATGTGCTGAGAACATGAAAAATAGAAAACAGATCTGACTTATGATACATGGGTAAAAGAGTGTATGTTTTTCTGCAGAGATTATATTAGGG